TTTTTTTTGGAACAGCTGTTTATCCTCTAAAATTGATATGATTCTTTCGCAATGCCTTTTTGACCACACTGTGATCAGGTGGCAAGTATTATCTTTCTTATAACCGAGGATACATCTAGCGCATCAAATCAGGATGATGACAACCTTTTGTTTGTATTGTTAGAAGATTCAAATTTAGACTCCAAACCAAATGAGTAGTTTTGGGGTTGATATGTGAGGAGGGAACGCGTTTGGGAAAGAGTGTTGTAGTCAAGGGAGGTATTTGACAAAAAATCATACTCCTTCCCGTCCGCTTACTTGTTGCTGAGTTCATTTTGGAGCATAAAACGTGCACTTTTGGAGACCGCTAAGGGCAAGATAGTATGGTTGATTGTAGGGAGTTGTGGTATCACTATATTACCGCCCAGAGCACAGAATAAACAAAGTATTCATAAATGTTGTCAGCAAGTGGTGCCGCGTTCTAAACGTTTCATTGAAAAGGTTTCACTTAGGCACAGAATGACTTTCAGATGTATCTATCTTGCATTTTTTTGCACTTACCTTTGAAATCATCAAAAATCTCCCAACTTTAGAAAGCGGAAGAAACTTTCATAGAACGTTTCAGTTTTTGTTGTGGATACTCAATTTGGTCAGTGGATCCTCTGGATAATAGCTTCGTTTGTAGCATTGGACGTATTGAACCACCGACACCCGGCGGTACGCGAGAGCCATCAACAACTGGTGAGCCAGATCGACCACCAGTTGATGACCACCACAATCATGTGTCACATTCTGAAAGGTTATTCAAACCTCATTCAGAATGTGAACTGTATGTGAGCGGTGTGAAAGCAACATCGGACATCAAATTGAGCCATTCGGATAGCAGTATATATGGTTAGGTTGCTTTATTTGCTTATCTCTTTTCTTTCTACACTTTTTGGGGAACTTTAATAAGGAATGAGGGCACACAAAAACGGTGTCAGGATATTCTATCAGCCAGTTATTTTTCATAAGTCTGATACTTTTCTAGAGGACTATATAGGTTTCAGAAATTTCTGCTTATGATGTAAGGTCATTGTGATATCCTTGTCTTACAGAAGGTTCATCATGCTCACGTACCCAAGATATCACGTATAGTCGTCCGCGATTGAAAGAAAGTAAAAAGTTGGATACTCTGCCAAATGTGAAAAGGTAAGAAAATCTATTTATATCAATTTGTTATTGTTGGTGTGATTATGACTTTCATATCCTTATTTCCATTGACAGTTATATTGATCTTCGAGTTCTTAGATGATTTTTGGAGGGGTGAAATCGTGTTGCCAGTCCTTTATTTCGAGGTTCATACCTTAAAAAGTGTTCTGGAGAGCATGAATCTTGTTATGCGCATGCGTATGCGTAATTTCTGTGCTATATGTCTGGAAAAGGAAATAATAGGGATGCAAAAGCTCAATTAATAGTGTATATACATAATATTACATATTGCTCCTTTAAAATACTAATTTTGTCAAATATAACGCTGTGAATTTCGTACATGTTTACACATTTGCTCATGCAACATGCACATGGTAGCCTATGTCCAAACTGCACACGAATTTGCCGAATTGCAGTTCAGATCATGCTGCGCCCTGCTATTTTTAAAATAGTTCTTGCTTTTCTGGTTTTGGTGTGAGGGACAATCATATCCTGAGATGATGACCTCTCGACTTTATAGATGGCAGCGCGTTATACCGACAATTTGAGAGGATTTATCTCTTTTTTGTAATTTTTTTTTTGTGTAAACTCATGTTGATGTAAATCTGTTTCTGGACATATGAACACATAATTTGTTTCTTTAATACAAGTAACTTCATAGCCTGAGAAAATAATATTTTTGAACATTTTTTGCTTAGCTACATATACATGCCATGTTGCTATGCTATGTCGGATCTACTGCAGTAAGTT